TTTATTCTTTATTATCGTTTACCCTAGGCATGACAACTGTTTATATCGGGCCATCACAACATTACCTTGAGACAACGTAGTTAAAGGCAGCTTTTATTGTGGAACACTGTACGGATTAGTACGTAGATGAGAAATATTAGTTATAGCGTCTGTGATTTTATGTAAATCGTGCACACCATATTTATATGTGACAAAGGAAAGAAATTAGTTTGAATTACAAAGTGTGTTTGTGTGTGTGTGTGTGTATGGTACAATACCATTTCCCACAAGAAAATAAACACATCAGTAATCGAGTTATGTTGCCTCTTTTGAAATACGTTACACAACTGTTTGTTATCCAAGATAGTTATGTTTTTCTTCTTTTAAAATGCACTATACATCTGTATTTATTCAACCGTTATTCAGTATATATATAAGTTGTAAATGAAATATTACACCATTTCTCATGAAAATTCGTCACCAGTTTCTTATTAATATCGGAACAGGAAAGTTAATTACAACAACTTCTGTTTGTTAATTTAGTGGCGTTGCAAATATGTTTAGCATCTATATAGTGGTTCATGGAGAATTCCACCAGGATAGATTTATTGTACAGAAGTTTGTACAGTAAGATGTAAGTCACTGTTGTTCATGGAAGCATTACATTTAGAACATGACGATCTATGAATTCCCCAGCCAATCTAGAGCAATGTCTTCACCTGCAACTGGGGGCCCTTTTAGAACATAATGATCTATGAATTCCCCAAGCCAATCTAGTCTCGATATCCTTTAAAGCCTCAGATTAATTACAGTATACTGGTAGCTTAAGAGTAGATGACTGGAGGCTTTCTCATGTAGTCTGTAGCATTTCTTAATGTAGAAGTAGTGGCTTTGTAATCTTAAAATATCACCACCACCAACAGGACAAAACTGTTGCCTCACAGAGTGGACCTGTTTTTAGGATATTCCTATGGTGAATGTTATCTTGTTCCTCAATCTAATTGTAGGGCAAAGTAACCGTCAAAAGAGGCTCATCCTATAATGGAATAGCGTATACATTCTGTGTGTACCTTGTATTTTTACTGTCATCATACAAACACTCATCAAGTTGGTAATAATAATGTTGACGTATCTGACAAAATCATCCTCTGACACTGCCTTCCAATTCACAGCTTTTAGTCATTATATCCAGTGAGCTTCTTGGATTAGTTAATGGTTAGCTTTTGTATTGTAGTCACTTTATGGTGGCATCCCTGTTAACCAAGTTGTTGTCTTGCAGTTTTCACTGAATTATTCCGTTTTACAGTTCGCTGGTGCAACTGGTCTTCCTGTCACATACATAATGAGTGATGGTACTTCTTCTTTAATGGACTGTGGATTTTACGAGTTACTGTCCATACTGACATTAGCGACGCGTACGCTCTGGGTTATAGACGCATCTCCCATACGTGCACAATGATTCTCTCTCTTTTGAAATCTGTTAAATTATTCCTTGAAGACTATTTATGTAACTTGTGCTCATGGAATAATTTACTTCTTCACGAGCGCGCATCTGATACTCACTTGGGAAGGAGCTTACGTATTGAGCCTTCAAGTTTGGCCATTTTTGTGAAGGATACTTATGGAAAAGGCAGTTGGCTCATTTTGTTGTTGTTGTTTAATTTAACACATGTTTATTTGTTTGAATGTTAGGTATGTAATGAGCAGAAAATAATGTGAGTTATTTTGTAATAATAAGCACTATAGTACATTGGTGACAAATTGATGGTGTTTTAATAGGGAGAATGACTAAACTGTTCATTGTCTGTTATATACAAATGTGTTTAAATGTGTCATGAAAGTGAAAATTATGTATTGAAATATTAGTTTAAGTTCTATTGACCAAACAGCGTCAGATATGGGTAGCTCCTACCTTTTATATTACTTCCACTTAAAACATTTTTGAAACTAGATTATAAATCTGGAACGAATGGTGGCAGATGTGATCACTAGGTTTCAAGCAATTTTGGACATATTAATTACCATCGTGAGTATATTATGTACCCACATTCTGTAATACCATGGGCACATTTGGTCTAGAATCTTATCATAATTAATTAAAATCAATCATTAGGTCATTTGGTATTTTTTTCCACAGATCATAGATTTGTTACAGAAGGCATTCTAGAGAAGCATACATAAATAATGTTGGCCATATACATGCTAATATTAAGTTCTGATCAAAACACATTGCCTACATAGGTACGAACATAAATATTAGTAATGAGCATAGCTGGTTAAATATAATATTCAAACTTTATTACTTACAATGATTAAAATGGATAGTTGAACACCCTCGTTGTTAATGATATTTTCGGCCATAAACCTAATTATTTCTTTACGAGGTTAGACCAGCCTAGGAGGCTTAGATTATCCTAAATCCATATATTAAGCTATAAATATAGAATAATTATAATAATATACATAAAAGTTTATTAGAAATAATAATAAATATAAGTAGATGTGTTAAGCATTATAACCAAGAATATTTGTTTGCACAGTGATAAAACTTTCACTTGTTTAGGTCGATGTGTAAGTGAGAATCACCACACACCAGTGGTAAAAGTGATACTTGGCTCGGCCAACATACTATATTTATGTTAGTCTTAAACCCGTAAATTAAGCTAATAATATGAAATATTATTTACAGTAATAATAATAATAAAATTATTTATAATAAATATAATAACCAATACTGTTGATGAAAGTAAACTTAAACAAAGGATAGGGATAATTAACTTACTATTGTTGCTAGAAAGTAATAGTTACTGCCTCAAACATCTTTTAAGATGTGTGTAGGAAGGTTACTTTTATTTTAGTGTCATTGCATGACAATTGAATTAAAGGTGAATTTCAAGATTATTTAAATCTCGTCATCTCTTTGTACCATAACTCCCTCCCTACATGCCAAGAATACGATATTCATTTACATTGTGTTCAGGTTCTCAGACATTTCAAAAGACTACTTTTATAATGTAGAGGAAATTCATTATTACGTGTGCCATTTTAAGGTCACTCTGATTGTATGTATGTATATACACTGGCTGGCCTCTATGTGAGGACATATTTATCCTTTCAGACTTGAGCTTTTTCCGAGCTACAGATGCAAATTAATGTTGTCACTTAATGTGTCAGGTGATCCATGTAACTCTATAAATGATTGGGACGAGCACATCTACAGTCAGTATAACAGACATGAGAAAAAACAAAGATATTGCACTGTCAAAAAAAAGTACGGTAATTAGTACATGTATAGCAGATATAACACTGACCAAGACATTAGGCTGCTCCAAGATATCTGCCATTTGAGTTTATCAGCTATGAAAATAGGCGAGTATAAGTGTTTGCTGCGAGGAGATTTTGTGTCCACAAACACGTAGTGACAGGAAGGCGGTTAGACAGGATGTTAAAGTCAAACTGTCATCAAACAGTAGACCAATTACTTGACAGAGACATTCGTTACAGGGTAATCCACAACCATCCCCAGACGTACCGTACGAAGAACGTTGCAACAAATTAATTATGGCAGCAGGATCTCATTTACCAACAAGAAAAAATACGTTAGACTGACGAGGACTGGCGAAAAGTGATGTGGTTCGATAAGTCACGCTTTACCATTTTTATTGCACAGATGGGAGAAGACCATAAATCAGTCATCCCCTCTTGGGTGATCCCAACTGTCTGAGCTACTGGTGGCGAAGCCATGGTTTGGAATATGTTTTCCTGGCATACTCTTGATCTCTTGAGAAGTCAAAAATATTGCCACTGCTTACCTTAGCGATGCTTTATGCATACCCTGATGGAAAAGGTTACTTCCAAGTTGATAATTCCCTCATACAACATGTGTGAATCATGTTTACATAGTTCGAGAAACTTGATAGAAATTTCAGACATCTCCCATAACCACAATCCTCGAATCTTGCTCCATTTGAATATCTGTGGGATGAACTTGAAAGACATTCACCATCACGATCCATTACCTACCTCGCGCCGTGAATTACTTACAGTATTAATACCTGGATGGGAAAAATCCGTCAGGATACCTTTCAGCACTTTGTGGATTGTATGACAGTCCTATCATATCTGTTTATCGGGCCAAAGTTAGCCCAACCCGTATTAGGTGTATGTTGGAATAGAGTGGCAAGTTATTGTATATATAAATATTTTATCTATGTGTATCTGTGTATATTTTTGTTTGGAAAATTAAAGCTGAAATTAGAAACAAACTTACTGTCAAACACAAACTAGTTGGTTAGGTCATGAAAGTGGTTCACTGGTATACAACAGTTCGAGCATTAATAATTTTTTCCGTAAATATATTTATTTTTCTGGTGTTGTTTAAACGTGTTTTCCAGGATGTAATAATTTAGTTTAAAATTTCAACACTGTGCACTGCGCCATTTAGTATTTTAATACTAGAGCCACTTTTAAGATCTTGATTATTGGAAACTAGTTCTGTTTCTTTAAGCTATAGGCTTTCGTTAAGGAAAATACGATAAATGTGTGTGTTTTCCTAGTTTCAAGAATAGAAAAAAAGCATTATTAGCTAAATATAAATAACACATTTCATTTGCTTTTCTTTCGTCGTTCGGTAAGTCTTCGGATTTACAACGCTAAAATCATGGGTTCTATTCCCTTCGATAGGCACAGGAGATAGCCCGATATGGCTTTGCTATAACAAAATACACACATTCTCGTCGTCATGTCCAGCATGAAGCCAGTTGAAACACATCTGCAGTATATCGTATTTGTTTTTGTTTGAGATATTGGTTTTCCTATCTGTGTAGACGGATGAACAATGAGTCCAGTCCAGTGAAGCTTGTGCGGAACGGCGTGTTCATTAATTTGGCATTATCTTTCGTTTCCGTCGCTTTGAGACAGTGAAGAGGAGATTAACTACATAGGAGTATTTGATTCCTTTAAGCAACATACAACGTCTTTTATTGGGTTTGTCTAAAACAGTCTTTTCTTTCTCTTTGCAGACATTCAAGAATTTTACGAAATGACACTTCTAGACGATAATAAGAGCGTCCAGCAGAAAACGGCGGAAACTTTACAGATTGCTTGTAAATGGGAAAACAGTCCCCCGATCACGGGCTTGAATAATGAGGTAAGAAATACACGGATTTCATAAAAATATATAAATACAATACAATGTGTATTTCATTTAAATTATTGTCTTATATTTTTTGTCCATATCTTTCATATAATTTTCGACATGATTAGATTTCGGTGTCTTTATAGACAGGTAGTTGTCAACTATACGACACATATATGTGGAATATTTATAGCCACGGCTCATAGAATGACTCTAGTTTTTGTTTTTTTTTCTTCAAGTACAATCTTTTAGCTCATAGCTCCGCCATCTCTTGACCGATTTGAAATTTAATTACAATTTTGAATTTCAATTTGAGGATAGGCTGGTAGAAATTCTGATGAGTAATAAAATTGAATGAGGTATTCACACACCCAACGCTTGTTATTGCTGGCACACACAAATATAGCTAATAAAAAGGAAAAAAAAGGTCTCTTAGGTAGATTAATTTACTCTAATCCTGTCTAAAATAATTTCAAGTGCTGCGGCTATTGAGGATTCCCTCCTGTTTAATACATGACACATTATGACAAAGGGCCCGGCATGGCCAGGTGGTTAGGGCGCTCGACTCGCAATCTGAGGGTTGCGGGTTCGAATCCCCGTCCCACCAAACATGCTCGCCCTTTCAGCCGTGGGAGCGTTAT